AACTTTTTAGTTTTACGAATCACGAATCAATTTAAAGAATGGTTTGATGATCAAACGAAGCTTCTAGTTTCAGTGTCTTTTTAGATGGACGGTCAAGATTTGTAGACGGAACAAGACTCCTGGCGCGCCTTCCAGAAAACAATACAAATCCGCCGGACAGATTTACGACACGTGGAATCATGTCTTCCGTAATTTTTATCAAAATCTTTCACTAGTGTTTGTTTGTTTGAGTTTAACCTTTACATTTGAATATAATAGATCACAAAAACTTTAGGGCTTAATGAGATTAGGTCTTAAACCGTAGATCAATCAAAATTTCGCTCAGCTGAAACTAGTTTTAATCTTTCTTGAAAAAAGTAGAGCTTTGTTACTTGAATTGATTCATAACAAAACAAGTATCAACGAAGTAAACGGAGGAACAAAACATATATAGTATAAAGTAATCTGATAAAATGCAAAGGTACTGAATTGAGATATAAAGAGAAAACCTTGTTCATAGTTCAACTTAATATTCAGACTCCAAAAAAACACAAAACAGATTAAAAGCCAAAATCTTTCCCTAAACATGATGAAAGTGAACCAAGCATATGAGATATTATTACTGGCTAGCACCAAGCCATTTGGTGAAGTTGTCAAACTCGGTGTAATCACTGTCGGAGATCATAGTCTTGTACCACGACTTACCTGCTGCTTTGATTGCCAATGCCTCCTCCTGTGTGGTTAACAGATGGAAAAAGAAAAGAAATTGAGTTAAAAAGAAGAACAACTTGCAAAGATACTTAAGGGAAAACTTGTGATGTTAGTAAGATAAATCAGAGAACAAAACTCTAACAAGGACATGCCATGATTAGCAAACTACATTACAATCGAGTTAATCAATCACACAACGCTCAAACCATATTCAGCAAGAATATCTAATCGCATAGCATCAGAACTGACAAGACTTGACAACGAAATGCTACCAAGGATAAAGTCATTCACACACTAAACCAGAGAAGCTCAGGTTTTAGTTGTAGTGTAGCAATATATAATGTAAACAACTACCTCACTACCAATCTAAAGTAAACTCAGTCAAATATATCAAGAGAAATGCGATGCAATTCACGAATCAAAATGAATTCAGTAACCAAGCAATGACAATCCAAAAATGGTTGATAAAGAACAAAATGAACAAGATAGTTTACCTTGGTAACAGGCTTCCTCTTCTTGGCGAGCTTCTCCTTCTTGGCCTTAACCCTCTGTGCTTCAGCCAACAAAGACATCCTCTTCGCGGTCTTAGCATAAGGATTCAATTTCAGCATCACGTTGAGGTTCTTCAATGGATTCTTCTTAAGAACAGCCCTCTTCGCACCCTTCTTAATCGGCTTCACTACACTCTGGACCTCATCAGAGTTGATAATCCTAGGCAGATCAGCATTGACCATCTTTGGACGAGGAAGAAAGTATCCCTTCTTCTTCTCAGATGGCTTGTCAAATGAGCCATAGATAGACTCAAGCTTCTCGAAAGCAGATTTGGTCCAGATCACAAACCTTCCAAGGTGACCACCAGGAGCAAGCTTCAACAAGTTAAGCCTCTCAACATGACAAAGCTCAACACCAGGAAGATTCCTAAAGGCCTTAACTATCTTAGCTCCTTCAGTTCCATAAACCACAAGAGGACCTTTCCTAGAAATGTAACGACGGTTCCTTGCTTTACCTTTACCAGGACGGATCCCAATGCTATCCTTGGCCTTCTCTGCATCATCATAAGCACCGATCTGTTTCAGAACCTTGATCGCAGCTGAGGTCTTCTCCACAGCCTCTGCAGAGTCACTCACAACAAGAGGCATCTCAGGGACGTTCTCGATCTTGTGACCACGAGCCATCACAAGCGAAGGAACAGCAGTTGCGGCGATGGCTGAGACGATTGCGTGACGCTTCATGTTGACATTGATGCGTCTGTGCCAGCGACGCCAGATCTTAGTCGGAGCGAACATCCGACCACCACGACACATGTTACCAAACGCCGCCTGACCGGCACGGTGAGTACCACCTCCGGGAACACGAGGGATACGAGATACAGCACGTCCAGTTCCCCAGGACTCGGCGGAGGTCTGATGACCGGCCTTCTTCGAGACGGCGTAAGGTTGACGGCTGTTGTTGGACATTTGGGCGTGAGTGAAGCTGACGACATCTGGACGAATAGGAGCCAGCATGACGTCAGGCAACACGACGGTGGAGGATTGATCTGTGTTCATGTCACCGTCCAATCCCTGAACGGAAACGAGAGGACGTGCGGCGGCTGCAGCCATTTCTCTCTCAAATGGGTTT